TGAATGGATACTGCAGTAAATCGTGATCTTTTTCTTGAAAAGTTAAATGCATTAATTGCGGGTAAACGAGAAGACAATTGTTTTTATTTTTCTCAAGAAAAGTACTCTAAAATACTTTCTGAAGTGGTTTCTGCTAAAACTAAGTGCAACACACCTTTGGATTACAGGCGATTAAAAAGTTTTGACGTTTTATAAATTAATGATGACTGGAAATTAATTGTACCATTAAAATCAGGGGAAACGAATATACAGTATTATGTTACCAACGAAGAATTGTTCAGTATACTATATGAAACTCACGCCAGAATAGGCCACGGAGGAAGAACACGTATGCCTAGAATGTACTATGTGTTTTAAATTCTTGGTCACTCCTCTCAGAAAAAGAGGCGAAAAAGTTACGTCACCCTTGTGACGTTTTATAGCGACTGAATTACCGACTGATATAGCGACTGAATTACGGAGAAGAAAATATAAATCTCCGACATGTTCAACATTCACCATTAGTGCATGGTGAATGTCGACATTTACCGGTGTAAGTCAGAAATAAGGGTATTTAGCAAATATTTCGAACATACACCAAGCGACTACGTGAATGTTGACATTCACCGGTGAAAGTCGACATTCTCCAGATTTCGGTCTTTCACGGTAACATAAATAATAATTAACCCTCATTCGAAGGAATTTCTGCTGTAGACAAAACTTTAAAACCTTGCAACTGTAAATACCTCTTTTATCAAGGTATTCAATAAAAAAATACCTATTGTTATATTGAACCCAATTATCAAGTGCAAGGAATTGATAGTATGTACATCTAATGTATGTATATATATAAGCCGAATGATACATAAAGCATGTACCACTTTCCGGTGATATACTACTAAAAGGACTTTGGATTTCGTTTAATCCGAATTGGATCAATGTCGGTCAACGCTGGTTAGCCGAACCGTAAAACGAAGAAGAAGACCACGAAGGAACACCAAACAGATCTGCGATCGATCTTCGTGCAGCTGCAAAGCTTCTCGAGAGCTTTCAAGAGTTTACTTAACGTCCTTTTACCCTAACAAGAAAATGTTCGCTGCCTGCGTAACCTCGCAAGCTTCTTACGTCAAAGCTTACATTATAAGCTTCATCGTTTCGAACCAAGGGAAGACGTATTATTGTTCTCGACGATACGCTGTGTCGAAACGAACAATATCTGATATCTGGAAGCACGCGTTGCTTCGTTGCATGCTTGAGTAGCAAATGCATCTTGTGTTCAACATGAGTGCGTAAAAAGGAAAATGAGGCTACTTCATGGAATAAGTATAAGCATTTGGGAAATCGAATTCGTGAAACACATGTTTATGTTTTGGGTTCAAAATAAATGGACATTTATTTTGTGTGCTTGAGGAAGTATTTTATGAATATTTGTTTGTGGATTCAAGAAATATTTGATTTGCTATTTTGGGTGAAATTTAATTTTTTTATTGAAAGTTGATGCAAGTGTTTTTGAACATTTTAAGGAAACTGAAGGCTATTTTTAAAATTTTGCAAATTTTTCTGTTTCTAAGTTTGGTTTGCATAGTAATGGAGTTATGGGACTGATATTACGATCAGTACGAGAATTTGCGAAGATTTATTTTATATGCTTGAAAAAGTATTTAATGAATTTTTGTTTATGGAAATTTACTCAAGATTAAATATTTGATTTGCTATTTTTTGTTATGTGTTTTGGGTGAAATTTAATTTTTTGATTCAAAAGTTGGTGCAAGTGTTTTTGAACATTTTAAAGAAACTGGAAACTATTTTTCAAATTTTTATATTAGATCTAATCTAAATGAAAATGTCTTTACATCAAAATTTTGCAAATTTCTCTGTTTCTAAATTTGGTGTAAAAGACATATTTAGAAATTTGCATAGTTCTGAATTTGAAATTTTGAGAACTTACAAATATAAACATTTCTAAGCACCCAAGTTTGAGATTTTTTAGGTAGGTAAATTTGTAGACATCAAAATTTCTAAATAGCTAAATTTCTAGACTTCAAAATTTCTAAATAGCTAAATTTCTAGACTTGTAACATTCTGGATGGCCAAACTAAATTTTTTATTTTTTTAATCTAGAAATTTTATAGATAGCTAATGTTCCATTTAAAAATTTACAAATTTGAAGAATTCCAAGTTCCAAACTTTCAAAATTGAAAAGTTTCCATGCTACTCCAAAAACTCTGCAAGTTTACAAACTTCTAAATTAAAAAATTTACAACTCTGAAAGTTTATAATGTAAAAGTTTCAAACTTTATAACTGTGAAAGATTGTAAGTTTAAAATTTGAGAACTTTTAAGTTTATGCAAATTCCACATTTCTGAACATGAAAATTAATTTACTGACTTTGAAAAATTAGAAGTTTATTCCATTCACTCTGAAAATATTTTCAATAATTAATGTAGAGTATCTGAAGTTTGTTTCATCTTCATCGCCATTTTCTTTAAGGTTTTCATATTAATTATATGTATAATGAATAATAAAATCAAATTCAAATGAAGTTAAAATATTTCAATAATTAATTTACAGTGAGTTTCTAAAATTTGTTTGTATATCGCCATTTTCTTCAAGATGTCCAGATTAATTATATGTATAATGATTAATAAATTCAAATTCAAATGAAGTAAAAATATTTCAATAATTAATTTACAGTGAGTTCCTAAAATTTGTTTGTACATCGCCATTTTCTTCAAGATGTCCACCATATTAATTACATTCATAAGGAGTAATAAATTCAAATACAAATAATGTGAATTAAAATATATACCAATTATACTCGAAGTCTTTTCATTCTTAAAAATAGCAGATCATTGAATCTTAACAATAATAGATCAATCCTATCAATAACATATGAAGTACATTTTAATAAATAAAACATTTTATAATAAAACAGTTATCTCAACTAAATACAATTCTTAATAAAGCATATATAAAATCATATAAACGAAGAATTGTATAATTATCAAGGATAATCTATCACAACTGCGTCTAAATCATCCACTTCATTTGTTAACTCTTTGAGGCACAGGATTTCAGATCAAAAATAGACCCATGTTGCACAGGAATTTTATCGTGTTTCAAATGAAACAGAATTGGTATATTTTTATTAATAAAGGTAGCAATAGGTATTAATAAAATATTAGTAAATAAAATATTTTATTAATAAATAAAATATTAATATTTTATTAAGGTATTAATAAAATAGTAGCAATTAATTAAATTTTTAAGAATATACAACATAAACAATAAAGAAAAATTGTTTCTTGTATTACACCACAAGTTGTATGGTGGGACAAATGAAATCCCACTATACTTTCATCATTTGCAAACAAATTTAACCATTGATTTATATTATAAAAATTGTTACTCGCTTATGAAGAACTAATTTTTATAGAAATTAACTTACCTCTACGATTTTTAACATGAAACTAAGAAAATATGTGAGTGCAATAAACCTTCCGTTTATAACAATTGCTCAGCCGGTAATTGCATGTTGAATGTTGCCAACACAATGAATACATTTGTAACATTATTTGAAAACATTACCAACTGCTTCACGTAAATAAGGCGAAATATAAACCTGTGCACATGCAGCTACTGCAAGATTTCTTGCAGTAGGGACTAAAAATGTCCCACCATGCCGTGAAATACATAAAAAAGGCGGGACACTTTTAATGCCCCAAAGAGTTAATTGATCAGTTGACTGACAATGAGAATTGACTGAACAATATTGTATCATGAGTCCATAAACACGATTAGCACAAAATTACTATAATTACCATATTTACAACAAAATTGTCAACAAAATAAATTATCCAGTATTATACAATATATAAAAATACCCACAGGGTGTATTTTCTCGAGCACACTAAAGCCTTTGAAGCAAACTGCAATGCTGAACTACTCTTCGGACACAGCTTACAAGGTGAATCTTCAACAGTATTAACATCACAAAGCTCACAGTTCCATTTCATTCCGAAGCGACCATCATTACAATAACGAAGCATAAATATACGAAAACCTCTGAACAAAAAATCGAGATTTCGAATCTTGAGATCTCAAAAACTGAAGACCCTCGAAGATTACAGGAAGAAACAGCGAGAAATGAAGAACCAGAAGAATTTCGAAGAGCAACAAAGATACGTATATTTCGGGAAGCGCAAAATGATCGAAACTTATGAAACTTATTTGAAAAATATCGAAACGAAAAGAAAAAAAATATAGGATTACGAGAGCAACATCATTTCTGTCTTCCAGGCGGCGCCGAGACAGACGCGGTGCAAGCGATTCTGGCCAGATATCTTCAGAGGCGTCTTCAGGGTTCTCAGCTGTCGACGCCGCCGCCACCAGCTGTCCTCTTCAGCAGCAATAATCAGGCCAGAGTGAGACAGGCCCCGCAGAGGACAACCGGTAATGTATTGCCGAGGAATGCCAACGAAAAAGAGAATACGGAACACGCCGACGATTACGAGGATTACGAGGACGACCTTGAAGGATACGAGGACAGCGAGAGGAGCAGGACCAGATTCGATCTCTTCGCCGGTAAATCAGCTTCGTACAATCTTCTGGTTCTTTTCATGACAAATTAATTCAGTTATTCTTTGTGGTTATTCGGTTATTTTATGTGGTCTCTGCGAGTGTTTGTTGGAGTGTTTTTTAAGAGGCTTATAAGGTGTTTCGGGAATGGTATGTGGATATTTTAGGGTGTGGTGGTGTGGATTGTTTCGAGTAGAAATTTTTGTTGACTCAGGTAGTATGGTGGTAGTATGGTATGGATTCAATATTTCAGGGTGTGATAGTTGAAATTTGGGAATTTTGGAATGTTGGAATCTTGGAATTCTGGAACCTTGGATTTCTGAAACCTTGGAATTCTGGAATCTTGGAATTCTGGAACCTTGGAATTCGAGATTCTTGGAATTCTGGAGTCTTGGAATTCTGGAGTCCTGGAGTCCTGGAATTCTGGAACCTTGGAATTCGAGGTTCTTGGAATTCTGGAGTCTTGGAATTCTGGAGTCTTGGAATTCTGGAGTCCTGGAATTCTGGAATCTTGGAATTCTGGAATCCTTGAATTCTGCAATCTTGGAATTCTGCAATCTTGGAATTTTTTAACCTTGGAATTCGAGATTCTTGGAATTCTGGAGTCTTGGAATTCTGCAGTCTTGGAATTCTGGAATCTTGGAATTCTGGAATCTTGGAATTCTGCAATCTTGGAATTCTGCAATCTTGGAATTCTGCAATCTTGGAATTCTGCAATCTTAGAATTGTGGAATCTTGGAATTCTGGAACCTTGGAATTCTGGAGTTTTGGAATTCTGGAATCTTGGATTTCTGGAATCTTGGAATTCTGCAATCTTGGAATTCTGCAATCTTGGAATTCTGGAATCTTGGAATTTTGGAACCTGGGAATTCGAGATTCTTGGAATTCTGGAGTTTTGAAATTCTGGAGTCTTGGAATTCTGAAATCTTGGAATTCGAGATTCTTGGAATTCTGGAACCTTGGGATTCGAGATTCTTGGAATTCTGGCATCTTGGAATTCTGGAATCTTGGAATTGTGGAATCTTGGAATTCTGGAACCTTAGAATTCGAGATTCTTGGAATTCTGGAACTTTGGAATTCGAGATTCTTGGAATTCTGGAATTCTGGAATTTTGGAATTCTGGAGTCTTGGAATTCTGGGACCTTGGAATTCTGATATCTTGGAATTCTGGAACCTCGGAATTCTGGAATCTTGGAATTCTGGGATCCTGGAATTCTGAAATTCTGGAATTCTAGAGTTAAAAAATTTTAAAACATCCATATTTTGTAGTTCACTATTTTAGACCATAGTAGTACGGTATATTATAAAGAATCAACACTGATTATTAATTAATAATTATACCCATAAGCATACATTTCTCACAAATGCAGTTACAAAGAAAATGCAGTTTCTAACTGCAGTTAATGCAGTTAGAAGATTCTTCTAATGATAGAAAATTCCTTCATTTATGATAGAAAAGATTATCCCTCATCGCATTAACACAACCATAATTAACTACCTCTACGATTCACACGTTTTGCTAGAAAATAATTTCTGTCAATGGTTGTACATTTCGGTTTACCACTTTTCACTGGTTCAACGCAGATCGTTAAACACCCTCGCCATAGTCAGCCCCCTGTGTTCTATCACTCGCGTATGTGCTTTAGCTGGGAACGTGCTTTGTCGAAATGGGTTTCATTTCAAATGTAATTCAATGTAAAAATTAAGAGCAAGAAGATATTCAAATTTCTGAATACTTATATTGTACAAATTCTTAAAGTAACACTGTGCGACACATAAATTGTGCAACACTCATCGAACATTTTTCCCAAAGACTTGTAAAGAATTGCATACAAACATATAAATCTTTTGTCGAGTCTCAATTGTGACACACATAATTGCTAACCTGTTATCTATAGCTTAATTTTAAAAATCTTATGCAAGAACGTTTATGTCGACCACAGTTAACTGACATATTATAACAAATTTCATTCATATTTTCATGATAATTCAGTGATTGTTATATGCAAAATATTTCTTACATTTCAACATTCATCTTAACATCAATAATCTTGAACTCAATAAAATCAATAAGCTCTTAACAACTTTGCATTTCTTGAGCATTTCATAAAACTAGCTAGTTCTGAGTCAAAAAACAATGATACATTAAAGATTGACAATAACTGATGGACTAAAGTTCTAAACTAATATATATGAAAAATAAAATATTTGAAGTGTGACATAAAAAGCGACCTGGACGAAGAGATAATAACAGATGTGGAAGAGTGTGTTCGGTTTATCAGAAATTTCGCGGTCGATTCGCGAAGGGAAAACGAGAAGGTGGTAGTCCAACCCTCGAAATTACCCACCTGCCTGGTGTAATGTGATAACAAGGGTGCAGGGGAGCGTACATTGACGTCACGATGCCGCACGTCTCTGTTCTGAAGCGTTTCGCGTTGAATCGTTCGACGCTGGAACACGAGCGACGTGACGTTTGCACGCTTCAGACCGTGCATGTCGTTTTGGAACTGGAATGCGTTCGCCCATCGCAAATACCATCGGTTTACCATTCTCCCTTGCATTTCTACGACGAACAAGACAAGTTTCATCGATCGCTGCATAATTGACTCTATATACCGCGTTACGGGTTTTGTTGATAGTCAAAGAGTTGCGCGAAGCTAACAGGTGTTAGAGATATAATCTATGTATATATAAAAATGGAAGTTTTTACGAAATTAATAGACTTCGACACCATTTGATCAATCAGGGTGGAAGTTGACATATGTATTTTTCCATGGAGAAGGCTTTTCGGTATATAAAAAATGGGCGGGGCAAAACGGGGCGTGGCAAACCAATAAAAATTAAATAATTCGGTACATAATAATCATACACAGACAGAATTTGGTGGATATGTACCTGAGGTGGTTGTCGATAATCCTACAAAAAATGGACTTTAAGTTAGTTCAATTACAGAGCGAATTCTTAATAAAAAAATGTATATCATCAACTTATACCGACACAAACAATGAAATCCATCGGTACAAGCTATCTTTCATTTTTCAACATCTTTCTACAACGAATTATAGATTCTAGGTTACGTACAGATCCATTTTTATATATGAAGGTCAATAAATATGCACAGGCAGGACAATGTCTACTACGTTTAGCTAGTAAGATATATAACATATAACAAGTTTATTACATGAAATGTGTTACACATAATTTTGATATGAGTAATATGTGCGATATCTTATTCAAAAATAGGAGTATAGATACTTCTATTTCATGAATTAAGAAACGTGGTAATTTTGGGACTTAAGAATGTGAAAGTTTAGAAATATGGTCAGTCAAGGTTAGGAGAACTAGGAAAATGGAAAACTGTAAAATTATAAGATTGAAAAATAAAAAAATGAAAAATTGGAGAATTGAAGAATTTATGAATTGAAGAATTAAAGAATTAAAGAATTGAATAATGGAATAATTGAATAATTGAATAATGGAATAATGGAATAATGGAATAATTAAAAAATTGAAGAATTGAAGAATTGAAGAATTGAAGAATTAAAGTATTGAATATTGAATAATTAGGAAATTGGAAAATGGAAGAACTGAAGAATTGAAAAATTGAAAAATTGAAAAATTCAAGAATTGAATAATTAGAAAATTGGAAAATGGAAGAATTGAAGAATTGTATAATTAGAAAATTGAAAAATGGAAGAATTGAAGAATTAAATAATTAGGAAATTGGAAAATGGAAGAATTGAAGAATTGAAGAATTGAAGAATTGAAGAATTCAAGAATTGAAGAATTGATAATTAGAGAATTGGAAAATGGAAGTATTGAAGAATTGAATAATTAGAAAATTGGAAAATGGAAGAATTGAAAAATTGAATAGTTAGAAAATTGGAAAATGGAAAAATGGAAAAATGGAAAAATTGCAGAATTGAAAAATTGAAAAATTAGAAATTTGCCAAATGAGAAAATTTGGTAACATAAAAACCCAAAAATTTGATTTGAAAAGAACCTAAAAATATAAAGGTATCAAACTTCCAACTTTTCAAATCTCCAATTCCTCGTACCATAAAATTCGAAAATTTTTATGTTTCGACAGTATAAAAAGATAAATTAATCGATTCAGTTTGATTGCCCAAACTGCCCAATATAAAATTTACATTTTAACTACCTTTTTCACACACAGAATGAATTATGGACAATTTTAAATATTAATATTGAGTTCATATTTCATGAACTCAAAATGTCCAATAAATAATCCACCTTCTGAATTCTTAAGATTAAAATTCACATTTAAAATGCAAATACGTTATGAACAAGTTTAAGAGAATATTTACACGTTCAACAATTTGTCGCGTGCGAACTCGTAAAAACTATGTCCAGCTTTTAGGAAAAATTTATTAATTTCAACAACGTATTACAAAAAGTATACATATATTTAAAATGCTAATGATGGTCGTGGATATCAAGATTAAATTTAAGCAGTCGTTTATTTATGCGGATCTTCATCACCTAATAAAATACATGAAATAATTCTTAGTTATTTACGTAGGTGTAAATTATATTCTTGTATAAATTTTTGTTCCTGCTTTCAGGAAATATTTTCTGTGACATGGTGACTTTACTAATTAGTATCCATTAGTCATTTTAGTAAATTGAATTTAAATTCTTTGAAATTGCACTTATTTTAAAATTTATTATATTATTATTAAATTTTTTATTTATTAAATTTATTGTATTAATAAATTAAAATTTATTTATTATAAAATATATTATATTATAATATAATTTGTAATTTATATTTTATTGATATTATTTTATAATTTATAATTAAAATTTGACGTACAATACAATATAATATAAGTAACTTATATTTCACATACATTATGTGACTATTTCCATTTTATTCACCTTAATTCTTATCAAATTTTACAACTAAAGAACCCTACATTTACTTCATCAAATAACAATAAAATTATTAAAAAAATTTCTTATTAATATCAAATTTATATTTA